GCGGGAGGTGTTTTAAGAGCGAGTTTTGAAGCTTCGCACACTTGGTAGTGAAAACATAACGGCAGTTCTGACTTTCATCGGCGTCTAGTGAAACCTAAACCTTTCTCGACGTCCATCACAGATCATTCTTCCCCCTGTGTTTGATACTCCTGCAAAATTGCCCTCGAGCAGGCTGCGTCGTGCAACCTGATTTCTTATTGTTAGGTGCTCGTAAGGAAAATAAATGGACTTGGAATAAGGCAAAAAAGAATCCTCTTATGGATAGATATCAGATTAAAAGGTGAAGAGCAGAAAGAAGGAATACATGCTCTTTTTTTGTGGTGGAGGGTGGTCATTAATGAAGCCCTGCAGGGATCTGTTCCAGGCCTGTGTTGTTCAGTGTAAGTAGAAATAATCTGAACAAAAGGATGGCTAGAAAATTATTAAGGTGAGGAGGAAATATGAGAAACTACAGGAAAGACTTTACAGTGCTGAGTGCTAGGACTTAGAATTGGAATGATGTGTACCGATCAAAAAAAAATTGCAAATATAAAAGAAAGGGCCTTTGTGCTGATGATTGCTGCTTAGGAACAAGTGCTTGGAGTTGGATAATTCTGTGAAAATACCAACTCAGCTTTTCACAATAGGAATCAGAAAAGTGAATAAAATGTAAGAAATTATTAAGAAACAAACCTGGTAAAAGCCTTTTCTGTGTACATCTGGGTTATTTTCCATGTCTCAGATACTGTACTTAGGATCTCTGATCTTCCCCATCTCCAGTAGAAGAGCGTGGAGCTAGAAGATGTTTCCAAACCATTACAAGGAACAAGGGCAGACTGAATTACCACTTCAAAAAGTTGTTTATTAAGGAAAGGGAGATGCGATGCATATAAAAATCTATAAAATCCTGTGTTATGTCTGGGGAAAAAGAGCGAGTAATGTCTTGTCCCCAAGAAACTGGAAGTCAGAAGAAAAACTGCTTCCCTGTAATCATGTTTCGCTTCTGTGAAGGCTTGTTTTTTGATGCAAAGTAAGAAAAAAGTATAGAATGCATTTATTTTCCACGGACTCAGTACATGCTTGTCTGTGAGCTCTGGGCAGTATTTGCAGGTTGGGGTTTGTTGCCCACCCTGTGATGGGACCCACTGCGCTCATGCACCTGCTGATGGTTCCCCTGGAACGACTCTGTTCTAATGAACTTTATAAATATTTTATAATAAATGTTTTTGACGTTTTCCTGTGTGATCTCTAATTAGCATCTTAAATGCTTGAGTTTTGTTGTTTTACAAGGTAACAATCACTTTCTAGAATCCTAATAAATATCACTGAGCCTATGGAACAGGAATGTACTGTAAAACGAGTGGTTTTATTTAATCTACATGGTGAACAGAAATCTCTACCTAGCTGTGGCCAGGGAAGAGCAGTGCTTGGCAGGGCAGAGTTTGTCTAGCAGCAGTGATGCTATTTTTATGCCCTCTTTTGGGATTTGCCAGTTGTCCTTTCTGTTTATTTTCTGGAACAGATCTTCAAGAAACCTTGCCTGGTGTATTTAATATTCCTCTTTTCTGTCTTTTCAGGTTTCTTCATTGCCAGCAGCTACAGAACATCCAAAACCCCTTAATAAAAAAGGTTTGTTTGAAGATATGATTGTATTTCTTGGGCAGGTTGATTTTAAGATTTCTTTTATAGTGTGTGCAGCTGTCTGGTAAGAAATAAGCATCCACTGGGAAAAGACAAGACTATCTAGATTGTAAACTGCTGAGGACAAGTACTTTTTTCTAGGGTCTGTATGATCACTAGTTCAGTGCTGTTGCTGGCTGACTTACTGTACCTGCAGCCTGTATCGTGTGTGCTTGTAATCTAAGAGACTGTTGGTTTTATTGTGTACATACTTGCTGGGCTGCTAATGAATTTGGTATTAATTTATCTTCTTAAATAATAAGAGGAGTTTGTTCATTTTAAGTTCTTTAGAATAATGTCATGCTGTAGAAATGATCTTGGGAAGCTAACATTGTGCCTCATTGACTTTTCATGTTGCATTTTTCTAAATTTTGAAGTAGAAGGGAAGTGCAAGTGAGATCAAAGCTGTCAGGTTGTAACTGGTTTTAATTATTGGTTTGTTGGTTTGTTTTTTTTTTTCATACTGAGAGTTAATTAACTCAGTCTGAACTGTTGTTTTGAAATCTTGATTGGATCTGAACTGGAACAGGAACAATTTCAGTTATCGGTTCAAAATGTTTGACTAAAGTCTGATGTTTTCTGAGGGGTCTGGTAGAGCCTGCAGCATAATTTGATGTCACAGCCTCTGCTCTCCCCTCTTCCCTCACTCTTGTGATGTGATTTGTCCCGGCGCACTCAGCAAATGTTTCCTTCTCTGTGGTGCTGATCTGTGCTCACGTTCCTAGTATGGATCCATTCACTGTAGAGACTTTTGTGCCTACCTAAGATGAGGTTTGGGTTTTTTTTTGTGGATTTTCCTTTCTTAAGTGCCCATCAATTCAGATTATAATTAAGAGTGAACTCTGCAGTGTTGCTAGAGCCCCAATATACTTACAGTGTCAGTCAGAAGGAGTCCTTCTTTTCCCTTACCTTTTAATTCAGGGAAGCTCAGTTGGAGCACTGTACTTGGGCCATTTTCTACCCCAAATGTGTGATGTGCCTGTCAGAGTACACTTTAGGAGGAAATCTTTGATATTTCTAAATTCCTTCTTATGGAGACTGCCTTGGTGATAATGCTGGCATTAAAAAGGGGCTTGTTTGGCAACTGAGTACTACATCATAGTTTCTGCCTAAAGATGAAGTTCTTCATCTTGCACCTAGGCTTTGGGAGGCTGGAAGAGCCACTTTGCTTTTCTTTTGGGGAGGTCAGGCTAATATCACGTAGTCCCGATTCCTGGCAGCAGAATTCCAGCACTTGAGCAGAACATGGCTGTCCTGGAGATGGTGCTTGATGTTTCACTAGTCCTACAGCTGTTGGCTTGCACAATCCAAGGCTTTTTTCTACATTGCCCAGATGTGCAGGTTTAAGCCCTGCCGGGACCAGAGAGCACGTTGCTGTTGCCCTTCCCTCACCCGCAGCCAGTCGGGCTGGAAGTTAAGCACAGACCCTGGGCTGAAATAAGAAGAAATTTAATACAACAGTGTGATAAAACAATCTGAATAGCAGCAGTGGCAATGGTAACAACAATAAACAGCAATAACAGTGAACAAGACAAAAGATATACAGAGAAATACCGCAAAATGGTCAGGGAACAAGCCTGCCGCGTGCGTCGCAACCCCCAAAACCAAAAGTGAAAGTAAAAAGGCCCCGCCCCTGGACCTGACATCAGCATGGTATGAATAACCCGGCTGGAGATCCCTTCTCCCTCTCTCTCTGCTGGGGAAAACTTGACCCTTTCCTAGTTGAACCAGGACACCAGAGCTGAGAGGAAGACATTGCTATTGCTTCAGGCCTGTGTGCAAGTAAAACTGAAACTAAAATTTACTTGTATCTTGATGTCAACTCTTTTAGAGCAAGGATTACTGTTACTTTGAACCAATTAGCATCGCTTTTGTGGAGGCACTGCTTCACTCCTTAGTGAGATGGTTCATCTCCATCCTTTTCTGTAAAGATTATGACTCTGATCTCCTCCTCATCCTCAGTAACACCCACTTAGTTCTGCCTTGTTGAGCAAGTCCTGTCTATGATATTTGCACTGTTTTTACAGGACAGTGTACGTTTGTAGTTCTCTAAATAAAACATCTGTAGAGGGACAAGGCTTATGGTGTTTGCCAAGAGGTGGACTATCACTCCCCAGCACTCTTTCCTGGCGGGCTGAGGTTTATTAAATCAACTCTGCATAATTCATGAGCGACCAGAATAGCTGAAAAAGAAAGATGGGGCCATCAGTCTTACAAAGAAGCTGTGAAGGTGTGCTGGATAGAAGCTGTCCTGCCTCTGTCAGCTTGCTTCTTAAACTGTCTGTCAAGTGCCTTCCTGCTTTTAAGTGTGCCCAATTTAATATTGATTATTTGGGAGAATGAACTGTGGCAGTTGCAGCTTTCTTAATGGGATTTCTTCTCCAGATCCCACCTGCTGTTTGATAAAGAGCTGCTTGTTTGTGGCTGCCGAGGAGGAGTTTTCTCTGCTGCTCAGCATTTCACATTAACAACCCTGAAACCAAGCTGGATGCTTCTTTAAAAAGAGCCACCAATGTTCCTTCAGGTTTTAAGGCTGCAAGTCCGAGGATGGGCAAAGGCTGTGCGAAAGAATTGGTCTGTCTCCATCAACAGCCAATGCTCCTTCCACCTCCTTCCTTCATTTGGCATTGGTGTTCGCCCAGCTGCATACCAGAGGGGAGAAAGTAGTAAATGAAATCTACTTACTCGTGGCTCTGGATTTCCCTTTGATACTAATACGACCCTTGACTCAAAATTATCTATGGTGAAGAAAAAAGATAATCTAGCCTGTGACTTTTGTCATTCTGTTTTCTGTCTCTTAAGGTAAATGGAGGCATCTCCAGTACCTGGCACCTCAGGTCATTCTGAAATGAAATGCCTTGGAAGCCTTTGTGCTTTGCCATTTAGGATTTGACTGTGTTGCCTTTAGTGCAGTGGCAAAAGCTGATTTGAGCTGCCCGATCGTTAATCTTTAGGAAATGAGGGCAGCAAAAAGATTTGTAATAGGGAGTGATATAACAGTGTCCTTTGTGTGGGGGTGTGATGTCGGGGGCACGTAAGAGAGAAGGGGAAAGAACAAAGGTGATGTTGTATATGCTATTGTGGAGTCTGGCAGGAAGGAATAGCATCTTTTTCCCATGACAGGCTTGGGGTTTTTTTTAATAGAGTTTTTGCAGAACATCTTAATGGAGTATCTCATCCTATTTTAGTTTGGCTGAGGAGAATTATGGTGAATTTGAAGGAGCCAGGCAAATCTACATAAGTTCTGTTTGAATAAAGAGTGTTGCTAAACCTATTTTAAACTGACATTTTTAAACACTGAATGGTAACTTTCTGTTGCAGCAACTTGCCTTTTGATATTTGCATTGTATTTTCAAGTGGGATGCAAGAGAGATATTGTAATGAACATTAAGGCAAGCTGGTCTATGAAATACAGAGACCATATGGTGTAATATGGTCTCCTGTGAACTGTTCAGTGTGGATAAAATTTGTGCCCAAATAAAGCATGTATTGCAATAACTAAATAATGTTGTTGTACACGAATGAAGTAGAGTATGACCAAGTCATTGCTGAAGTCCTAACTTAATCATCACAGTGCCTGGATTCAATTGTAACAGCTTGCCTGTGTTTGTACTGAGTAGAAATAAAGTAGTAAATGTATGTTTCTGCAAATGTGATCTCAAATTTTCAAAAAATAATTTGAATGACAAACCACACATGTGGGTTTTGTTGCTTAGCCAGAAGGAACACCAGAAAACTGCATTTTCAGTCCGAGCTGTGGTGCAGATGAGAATATATTGAATACTGTTGAACTGTGCATCCCAAGAGTCGAGCAGTTTCCCCTCACTGTTGGGTTGCTTTCCTCCTATGGATGTTCCTTTGATCCTGTCTGTGAGATAAGAAAAAATGGAAACCTAGAACTAGTGTTTAGCAACCTGATTTTATGGCTGATAAACAAGAATAACTTTGAAGCAAAAGGCAGAATTTGCTCTTGAATTAGTTGCTGTCAAGGTTGACCTGTCCACGTGGCTTTTAGGTTGCAAAAGTCTGAAAGGCTGGGATTTAAGAGAGTCTGTCTTGCAGGCAGGTCAGCCCAAAGGGAAGACAATGAGATTCAACAAGCGTATAAAGGGTCTGGAGTAGATTGGGGGGGGTGGGGTGGTGGGAAAGGCGTCGTACACAACAATCAGGTTAGAAATATCTAACATCTACATCTAGCAATCTAAATTAAAGGGACCAGTGGAAGGCAAGCTCCTCGGAGTATCTTGTAGCTACACTTGGTGACAATCATTACTCAGCAGCTGACACTTTAGTAGCTAAAACCATTCATTATTTTGTCCTTTACCCCCCGTGGGGAGAGCTGCTCTGAAAATCAATTCCCTTTGTTGCTACATCAAGATCCATAACTCTTCCCATGTTGATATTTTGTCCCCAAGCAATTGATGGTAGAATAAAGGGAGCTCTGTTCCTTGAAGCGATGTAGAGTTAATATAGCCTGCTGAGATGGCATTTTAATCTCCCTGCTGCATTTTAAATTAATCAGATATTTTCCTAAATGCTTTACTGGTTTTAAACTGAGATAGGCTGACTCCCATCTTTCCACTTTTCTTTTTGCCACACAGGCAAATCAATTCATTTTATAGTATCTGATAGTACTCTAGCAGAGAAGCACTTTAACCAGCTTGTATTGTTGATTTTTATGGAACATAACTTGAATTTATTTCCCTTTATCCTGGAAAAAAAATTTAGAAAGGAAATTCTGGGCTCATGTTAGTCTAATAACAGGTCAGAGGTTAATGGAACAATTTTAAATGCATTTGGATTTCTACACAAATATTAGACCTCAGATTTTCTGAGATACAGTGATGGCTTTTTAATAACAGGGTAGAATCCTAAATATGTATATACTATAATAAATACACTGAAGCAAAATAAAGTACATTTCTCTTGAGTTACTGGGAAGAACTTG